GGCATTAGGGGGAGATAATATACTACTCCGTAGCTTTTTGGAATGCCAAGAAATTTCATAAGAATAAAAACATCTTCACTATTTAAATCCATGTACTAGTTAGATTGAACTGGAAGTTCAAAAGATAATCTATTTGTGATTTTAGCAAATAATCTGCCAAAAACATACCTATTGATCATAATGATCATAAAAGAAGTGACTAGGTCCTATATCCTTGGACCAAACATATCTATCGATACTCCTTGACACCAGAAGTGTAGGAGATCTATCGGTGAAAGAAATATGGATCGTAATACTAGATCTAGTAAAGAAACATTGTCACTCTTGAAATAGCTTGAATAATTATGTCCTGCAGACGTTCGTCCAGATGACGAAAAACCCTGGTAAGACTTATAGGTGCACCAAACAAATGTAATACTAGGGACGCGGAACGACCAGATCAAAATATCTTTGGGAAATGTTTAGAATTTGGTTGTTTTAGAAATTGCCATTACTTTTACAGATATGGGAGTTTTACAAAAAGGTTATAGTTGTCGACAACACAATTGCCATCACAAATTGCTCGTTATATGATAATCTGGATCCAGAGTTAGGCACCAGAAGTGCCATGACTATTTAATATATAAAGGAGCAATTAAGGCATAGCTCGACTCGCTAATATGAATAAATTCTCTTTATAACAATACACCATTAAGCGTTAACCCTGAAGGTTACAAATGGGTGTGTGCATGAAAGAGAAGTAAGAATAACAAGGTGATATGATATGCAGCGAGTTTGTAGCCTATGGGTTCACGCAGAGACCCTTAATTGATTTTAATCAAATATACTCTCCCACAGTAAATGGCATTAAGTTCCGCTACATAATACAATTGGCAGAATAATAAATTTAGATATGCAGTTAAATTTATCTTGAGAAATCCCTGATGGATTCATAATTCTCATTTTTAAGTATTATTATGTGTCATTATCTACTCTTTAAAGGGTTGCGAATGGAATTAATATCCTCATTGAAGGAATAATATGTACCATTGTGTGCTCGATAAAGGGTTGATAATGAACTTATTTATTATTTATTATCTCAGTCAAGATTGATGGTGTAAACATCAATGAAATATATAAAGAGCTTGATAGTGTCAGTTCATGTTTAAAGACTGAGACTTTTGAAATAAAAAGCTTGTGAAAGATATAAGTATTATCTCGACTTGAAGATCGAGTTTTTCTTTGAAGTTTTTTTTTATATATACACCAGTCAGCCTACATCTAAAAATGCTTTTTCACATGTCTATATGCATATAAGTGTCATGTTTTATCAAACTAAAGGTTGCCTAATAATCTCCTGAAGCAGATAAGGAACCTTGTTGGACTCGAAGTCCCTTACTTCATTATCGTTGGAGCACCATTATAGAACCAGAAGTTCCATAACCGCAACATATTTGCGATGAAATTACTAGCAAAATCTAGTGCTCCCCCTACAAATGAAGTACTTGAATAATGATTAACATATCCTCCGGTATCTTCGAGATACAAAGACATGACATTTATGTAAGAAACCATGATACGGTTTTAATAGGCTACTTGGGTACTGGCTGTTTTGTTTGATCCCCGCAATGCCAAGTCCAAACTGGTTATACAATGAATTTCCCTAAATGTTCAAAATGAGGACAATAACACTTGTGTTGCACAAATGTTATATTAGCTCTAGAAGAGCCATAAGATTATTGTACACTACTCTAAGTGACAATCTAGAAGAGTTGTCCAATCCATCTCTTCAAAATTTGAAATATATGTAGAACTTGAAGATTGTTATCTTCAGGGGGAGACTGGAAGTACATTTACTCGAATCAATCCGGAAGATTGAACATTGAACGTAAAATCCTGAAGATTAAGTCATAAAAGACTAACAATTGCGCACTATTTGCAACGAATAAATACATAAATATCATGTACTCTTTTCCTCACTAGTTTTCTCCCATTGGGTTTTTCTAGTGTGGTTTTTAACGAGGCATGAGTATGATATAGTAATGACAATGAGGAAAAGTTGCAAAATAATTGCTTAAATAGACAAACCCAAAAATCCTGAAGATTATGCGGTTTGCGCCCTGAAGGCTTATGGTTGTACTCTTTTTCCCTTAACTAAGTTTTTCCCACAGGGTTTTCTTAAGTTAAGGTTTTTAATGAGGCGACCAAATACAATATATGTTTTTACATATATCATGTACTCTTTTCTTCAACTAGGTTTTTCCCATGTGGTTTTCCTAGTGAAGTTTTTAATGAGGCATGAATATATATTTTTTTTATTGTACTCTTTTCTTGTCTAGGTTTTTCCCACCGGGTTTTTCTAGCAAGGTTTTAACGAGGCAAGGTCGTGGCCAAATAATGTCCAAGGGGGAGTGTTGTAAATAATATTAAGTGGACATTATTATAGTGTTTATAACACTTGTAACGGTCGGAGGATTATGACCACACTTATGGTTTCCGTTACAATTGTACATTATATATATGTGCTAATACCTTCTTGTATAGATGGAGTTTTGGATGCAAGATTAATAAAACTTCCTTGTCTCTTATCTTGTCTCTACTTTTCTTCTACTTTTCTTATTTTGTGCCACTTGCAACTGTATTCACCGGTTACTGGTTAGGAGCTAAATGGCCAACGGGCATAATCTGCCACAACAGACATTTTGGTAAGGTTGCTAATTAAGTCTCTTATACTATTTAAATTTGTTTGTAAATTTTTCTATAATTTAATTAAAAAAAAACCATTATTCATGGACAAACGCTATGAATTTAGAAATGGAAAAAGCCATGGTACGTGTTGTTATCGACTTTGAGCCTGACAATGCTTCCCGGACTAATCAAGTATTTAACTTGATTTACAAAGAATCGGATTGGAGTTTGATGATGTGGTATGCAACTCTAAACAACAAACAATATAAAATGTCCTTTTTACCTTTCATTTTAACACTCACTTAACACCAAATCTAACGAAAGACCATTTTGACTTAAATTCAATAGTCGGAGGACTACTTTGGGTGCAATTAAAAGTCAAGTAACCAATTTGAGAAAATAATACAAGCTATAACCTAAAGAATGAACTAAGAATAACGTAGCTACTAGGAACCAAGGGATGATCTCTTAAGGAGGGAATAATGGTGTCTATTTATCAATGTTGCAAAAAACGTTAGGCGCCCCCTAGGCGCCAAGGGGCGCCTAGGGCGCTTAGGCGCCGATTTTTTATTTATTTTTATTTTTTTTAATTAAAAAAAAATTAAAATTAAAAATTTTCAAAATTTAGTACTAAAACATAAGGTTTCCATAGTTATTTCTTAAAAACTATTTACAAAAGTGGTTTTAAAATTGTTCAAAAGATTGTTTAAACCATCTAAATACATAAAAAAAAAACTAAAATTAAGAGCTAAAGAAGCATTTTTTTTTGAGAAATTAGTGGACCAAACCGCCTTTGGTCCAAATCGAAAAAATACGCGATTTGAAAAAAAATTGTCCAAATCGGACAACCGAGTCAAAAGTTATGCCTTCCGAAACTTTTCCGACATTTTAAAAAAAAAATCGCCGAACCGCCGAACCGGCCGGTTAGGCGGCCGCCTAGACCGCCTAGCCAGCCGGCCGCAGAGGAGGCCGCCGAGGCCATTCCTCGCGGCGGCTTCCTAGCGCCTAGGCGCCGATTTGATTTTTGCAACATTGCTATTTATAGTGTGGAGGGTATTGCGGATGGTTGACAAATGTGCAGCATCGCCTAGTCTTCAATATTGGTCATACACATGTTCTCCACTATCTGGATGCCATCGATATTCACACAACTAAGTAGAACATCTTGCCTTTTAGTAAATAGGATGTGTGGTAGTTGGGTGGTTTTTAACTTGTGTTGTTATGCTTGAGGTCATGAATTTGATACCCCCGGCAAATTATATCGTGCACCAGGATTGTTCGCCCTGGCTCAAAACGACGTCGTTTTGTACATGTTTTTTTTAGAAATTTCGTTTCTCGTATCTGCTATTAACTTCTTTAAAAAAAAATGTGTGTTTCGAATGTACATAATTGTATAACAGAATACACATACTCTTTTTTTTGAAAGGATAATACACATAATCTAACATAATACATAATACACATAAACTTTTAACATAATACGCATAAACTCTTAGCATAATACACATAAACTCTTAACATAATACACATAAACTCTTAACTCTTAAAAAAATTTCCTGTTTCGAATTTACATAATTGTATAACAGAATATACATAATTGTATAATAGAATGTACATAATTGTATAATAGAATACACATACACTCTGTCGCGTCAACTCCCCACACAACTTAACAAAACGACGTTGTTTTAGGCAGGACTGGACGCCAATGCATTGTGCACCCTGGTGCACGATATAACGATTGGATACCCCTCAGTAGCACATCTTTTAACATTTTGCTCCATGCTTCCTTCTTCACCCCTTTAGATTAAGATCTATCCAGTAAAATGGGCCATTAGAATCTATGTCCTCATCAATTATATTCTGGCCTTACAAATTTTTCTATAAGTATTTAAATAAAGTTTGAATTTTTATTCACAAAAAGTCATAATTAAACATTCTCAATTTTATCTCAATTGAACGATATGTCTTCTTAATTAAAAGTCTAATCTAATAATTTGATCTGCATATTTATATTTTATATATTATATATACTCACGCATTTGAACCAAAGCAAAAAATACTTCAGAAACAAAACAAAAAAAAAAAGTTTAACAAAAACTAATGTCGATAAATTATAACTTACAAACTTTTATATGAATTTGAGTTGAATTATTTGGATGAGTGATAGTGGATTGAAATATTGACTTAGCAATGCCAGATAGTACAAAGTTTGGTACAAAAAGAGGTATTCACCAAAAAAAAAAAATGAAAATACAAAAGAGGTACAAAAAGAGAAATGGTTACACAATAGAAGAAAAAGTTGGCGCACATGGAGAAATGATCAACACGGCGCTTGACTTTTCTGGTTTTAGTCTTTGAGGGAGAAAGATTGATACACTGCGCATCGCGTTTCGCAAGAAAGATAAATTTATAAAGCTGAGAGATGAATGGGGAAAGAAGAAATCTTCCAACAAAACACCAAGCAAATTGGCGGGTATAAATTGGGGAAAACAAGAAAACATCGCAAACTTCGTATGTGCAGAAACAACATTAGAGTTTCCAAGAAAGTGAACAAAAATTTCATTTTTTTTAAAATTTATTTTTTGTCGTGTGGGTTTCCCGTTTCCCTATCGAGTATAGAGTTAAGGGCTATAATCCACCCACAAAGAAAAGAGTCAAGAATCCATTTTTTTCCCCCGTCTATCTTCCCCTCTTTGCTTCTTCCAGTTCTTCGTCTGTCTTAGGTTGTCGGGCTGGATTGGAGAATTATAGGTTTTGGGGGCCGAGCTATGATGGTAGCAGTTTAAGCGGTTGACTGGAAATGGGGAATTGCTTTGGATCCGAGATTGCTGACCCTAGCCGGAGCAGCACTACTCACCGCAGCTCTTCTTCACCTAGACCTTCCACTCCAGGTACTACTATACTTTCTTTCATTAAATTCAAACATATTTCCAATTTGGGTCATGTTTCTTTATCTGGGTTTTGATGAATTTCACGTTTTCCATATTTTGCCTGCTTCTAAAAAAGGGAACTTTTTGAACTTTGTGGTTGGGTTTACCATGTGGTGGTTGTGCTTTGTTTCCTCTTTTTGGTGTTTATAAGTAGGTATAGGTTGATTGTAGTTTGGATAGAGACAATCAAACATGGGAATTTCGTGTTGGTTTATGTTGTTGTGATCCCTGTACAAGGGTTCTTGTTTTTCTTGGGATAAATCATAGTTACTTAAAGATATTAACATTGGGTGTTCTGCCTATATAGCAACTTCAAGAAACTACAGCAATGGTGCTGCTACTGCATTTTCGGCGACAAGCAGCAGTGCTGGGTTTAGCCGGTTTTCGACGGCAGGGAGTGAGGACCAGACACATGTAAACGGGGAGATTTTGCCCACGTCGAATTTGAAGACCTATACTTACGCAGATTTGAAATCTGCCACGAGAAATTTCAAGTCTGACATGGTCCTCGGGGTGGGAGGTTTCGGGACAGTTTTTAAAGGATGGGTTGACGAGAAGACGCTCGCGCCTTCTAAAATGGGCAGTGGAGTGGTAGTTGCGATCAAGAAGTTGAACGAAGAAAGTATGCAAGGATTTGAGGAATGGCAGGTACTATAATTCACACGATGTTGTGTTAATTCATTGGTGCGATTTGAGGAAGACTAGGGTGGTAGAATCTTCTAAGTTTATACCTTGGGTAAAATGAATTGTCTATTCAGATTCCTTCCATCCCGATATTTCTCGTTGGATGCTCTAATGAGTTTAAACGTTTGAAATGCAGTCAGAAGTAAATTTTTTAGGAAGGCTTTCGCATCCTAATCTGGTTAAACTGATCGGGTACTGCTGGGAAGAGAAAGAGCTGCTACTCGTCTATGAATTTATGCAGAAGGGAAGTTTGGAGAACCACCTTTTCCGAAGTAAGATGTGAATTGCGGGCATTTGATAAAGATGGAACTAATAAACGATGCAATACACTAAATGGTTTTTCCCTGTTTTTTATTAGGGAGTGCTGTTGTTGAACCACTTTCTTGGGATTTACGCCTCAAAATTGCAATAGGAGCAGCACGGGGCCTCGCTTTTCTGCATACTTCAGAGAAGCAAGTCATCTACCGGGATTTCAAGGCTTCCAACATTCTTCTCGATGCGGTAAGATTCTATGGTTACTAGTCGTTAGAATATATCATATATCTGTCTAAGACAAAAGAGAATTGCTTTGTCGAGAAGAACTTTGCACTTATCATTAAACATTTCGGTTTAATTTCAGTCCATATTTGTAATTAGAAGTCGTTTGGTTTTCTTGTCTCAATAGAGAGACTGTGGACATGATTGGTGAAATGCGGAGGAAAGATGCGAAATTTGAAATCTTTGGTTTAACGGGCATTTAGTTTACCGGTTATCTGATTCCCATTTTATGTATTTTCTTTATCTTGGTGAAGTTCTTGAATTCTGTGCTCATTTCGAATTTGTAGAATTACAATGCAAAAATATCAGATTTTGGATTAGCTAAAATGGGGCCTTCGGGCGGGAACTCACACGTTACAACTCGAGTAATGGGCACATACGGCTACGCTGCACCTGAATACGTTGCAACCGGTGAGTGGTTATCTTGTGCATTCTTGTAGTAGATTTTGTGCATTATAGCCTCAGTGGAGGCGTTATTGGTTCTTTGTGTTTCAGTAGATTGAGAAAGTATATGAACAAGATACTACATTGTAATAGAGCCAGTAGCATTCAAAAAAAAATAAAAAAAAAAAAAAAAAAAAAAATATATATATATATATATATATATATATATATATATATATATATATATATATATATATATATTGATTCAGTTGTTATTTTGATATCTATAGGTCATCTATATGTGAAGAGTGATGTGTACGGTTTTGGTGTCGTCTTGCTTGAGATGTTGACTGGCATGCGAGCACTTAATACTAGGCGACCTAGCGGGCAACATAATTTGGTGGACTGGAAGAAACCCATGCTCTCCCAGAAAAAGAAGTTGAAGTCGATAATCGATGTTCGAATGGAAGGCCAATACTCGACAAAGGCAGCAATGCAGGCTGCTCAGCTTACTTTGAGATGCCTGGAGCAAGAACCCAGAAAGCGGCCTTCGATGAAAGAAGTGGTGGAAATTTTGGAGGAGATTGAAGGTATGGAGAAACCAAAGAAGTCAAAAAGCAGCAGATCTGGGCATTCTCAATCATCGTCTCATCACCGTAAGCCTTCACCCCGACACCATCCAACTTCACCTGGTCGCCCGAGCCCCCGTGGCGTTGGTGGGGCCGGATCAAGAAGATGACAATACGTAAGTGGGCAGATTCCTTGTACGTACTGGCAATTTGGTTCTGTCTGCTGAGACTGTGATTTACATCATCCCAAATGCTCCATCGGATCAGGGTATGGGTGGCCCTTAGGGTCAGGAATTCAACCTTTTGGGGTCAAGAGATTAAATTTTTTTTAAAAAAAAAAAAAAAAAAAAAACATCCAAAGGAGTTGCATTCAGCAGTCTGTTGTTGTGTTAATTGTTTCATATTTTGTTGTAATTTTAAAAAGAAAAGCATTATTTTCAGAATGTTTATTTTTTTTGCAAAATTTTGTATTGGTTCTCACCTCAGTTTTCAGGGTAGTGTTGTGTGGAATGATTGTATTTGTGAATCATCATTTGTGCTATGTAATGTGCAATTCTTTTCTATCTTTTGGATCAGAAAAACTGTGAAATTCTTTTCTATCTTTTGGATCAGAAAAACTGTGACATCATCACCTTATGTTTCAAGATTCAATCATAGTATAAGTATTGTTCTTTTGGGATCTTTTGGAATGGAATGGAAGTAGATGTCAAAGTGCTGGTTTTCCTTTCCTTAATTGCTTCCACCAAGAAAAGTCTGCCCTCCCCACTAAACATGATTATCCTCTCGGCAATAAAAATGCACTTTTTGAGTTTTCTTGTTACAAATTCCATAACCCATCTTTAAATTAATCATGTCAAATTTGACTATAAGATAATAATGTTAAACTAACTTACAATAAATAAATAGATAAGGCAAAAAGTGTTAAATTAGTTCTTTTAATTACTCAAACGAAGTCCCTTAAACTGACAAAATAGTGTAATTAGGTCTTATTATTACGTATTCAACAAGTTACTCCTGACGTGACGTTACACGTGCCATTTTGATGCTTATGTAGATCCTATGTGTATATTTATTTTATTTTTAAATTATAAACAAATTAATTTTTAAAATACAACCAAACAATTTTATTTTAAAATTTGTTATTTAAAAAAAAAATACAACCACCCATCGTCGATGGCCAATGGCTTTTACTGTTGACGAATAGCCTCAATAGACTAGATAGTTATGCTGTCTTAGGCATCAATAAGACAGTCATGACGGTTAAGATGATCACGCATATAAATTAGAGATTAAGTTTTTATGGCGGGTATAACTTAAAAGGATTAAAAATACAATTTTATCCTGATTTTACAAATAGCAGTCACGAAATAATTACAGCTCTCATATGTGTTGTCAAAATGGAGACTTCATTCTGACTCTCATGTATGCCCATATAGTGTGTGGATCTTCGTCTGAATCATAATTTCTCCGAAAGTTCTTATCTTTGGAATTTCAACCCACTCCCTATTCACTATTCACACACGAATTTAGCAATTCCAAGAAATTAAATAAAAAAATATTTTTAAATTGTTGTCATCTTTGACTCAATTCAGCCAAACCGCGAAGAAAAGTTTTCTTTTTGTTTTCCCTTTCAAAAATCACTGACCCTTTTTCTGTAGACTGAGAGAGAATCAATGGGGAATTGCTGTTATCTGTGTGGATCCAAATCTGCTGACGCTAACTCTACCACCACTTCTTCCACCATCTCCTCACTTTCTTCTTCTTCTTCTTCCACTCCAGGCACTACTTTATTCCAATCAGTTTATTTAACTTCTTATATTCCCATTTTTGCATTTTCATGAATTTACTACTTTTTCCATGTTTTTGTGATTTATATTGTTGTTAGTTGTTTAAGGTAGGGAGAATTGTGGGTTGTGGGTCAGATGACACTAATCAAACATGAAGGCTTGATTTGATTTATTGTCAGATCAAGCGATTATCACTTAGGCTTAAGCTTTTTATAGGCCTCCCTCTAATAATTTCCTCTCTTAGCACCAACGTCTTAAATATTATTGCTAGACTTGAATGAGTTGAATCCGTGACCTCTGATATAGTTGTTAGAATTAAGCGCTTACCACTTATGCCAAAAGCTATAACTAGTAGCGAATGTGCAACTTTATAATTTTCAAGACGCTAAGTGCCTGACTTTGGCCCTTTAAGCCCTTTATCGACTTCTGCCTAACAATCCCTAGCCACCAGGTGCTAGTCTTTGCATAACATTTATGTTGTTGGGAAGTTTGATTTTTATACTTTGTATAAGAAGAAAGTGAAGTCAAACATCATATCTGATCTATAGGCTTTTGTTTCCTTTCAAGAATCCTTTGTTTTTGCTGATTAATGAATTTATGTTTATTGTATTTCTCCATGGGTAACTTGCACAAATTATTGGATTTTAGAGCACAGCCATAAGTACTTGACGATTTACATTAATGTTTGGGGTATAGGGATCTCAGAATGTAACACTTCATCTTGGGTCACAAGCAGAACCTCTGGCTATAGCCAGCTTTCAGGAGCAATAAGTGAAGACACAAAACTACCTTACTATTATTATTATTTTGATTGAATTTTGGAAAGCAAAACCATAACTGCTTATGTTGAATGTGTTTTGCATATATATATATAGAGAGAGAGACACCAAATGGCAAAAGCAGTAGTGGTGGCTATAGCCAGTTCACGAGAGTGAGGACTGGAGACAGCGATATATGTGTGAAAGGAGCAATTTTTCCTGTGTCGAATTTGAAGATTTATTGTTTTGGTGATATGAAGGCTGCCACGAATAATTTTAGGCAGGACACGATCTTGGGGTCGGGAGGTTTTGGAACAGTGTACAAGGGGCGGGTCAATAGAAAGACGCTTGCACCATCTAAATATGCCAATCGGATGTGCGTTGCTATCAAGAAATTGAGCCCCCATGGCGTTCAAGGATTTGAGCAGTGGCAGGTACTATAATCCATACATTATATTGTTTTCTTGCATATATATATATTGTCTGGTGTTCTAAATGGATGTGTATTTATTTCATTTCAAGAACAGTCAGAAGTGAACTTCTTGGGAAAGCTTTCACATCCTAATGTGGTAAAGCTGATAGGGTATTGTCAGGAAGATCAAGAACTGCTAATTGTCTATGAATTTATGCAGAAGGGAAGCTTGGATAACCATCTTTTCAGAAGTAAGTGTAAGCGTTTTTAACTAAGATGAAACTAATAAATTAAATGATGCAGTAGTTGAGTTAACCAATTTGGCGTTTCCTTGGTTTTAGGAGGTGATGCCATTCAATGGGACTTGCGGCTCAAAATTGCAATAGGAGCAGCACGGGGCCTAGCTTTTTTGCATGCTTCAGAAAGGCAAGTTATCTATAGGGATATGAAGACCTCCAACATTCTTCTTGATGGGGTAAGATTCTATCATCTCTTCATTTGAATATCTATATAGGCATGAACAGCTGGTAGAGAAACATCTGAGTATTCGATCACAAGAGACAGTTATGACTAAACTATGATATGAATGGCTGCAGAAAATCTTCTAACGTGTCTTTCTAGGACAATAGGAGCAGTGAAATGACACAGGGACAGTGTGTGTGTGTGTGTATTTCTTTATCCTGAATTCCGTGATTGTTTTCAATTTGTAGAATTACAACGCAAAAATATCGGATTTTGGGTTAGCTAGACTGGGGCCTTCGGGTGAGAATTCACACGTTACAACTCGAGTGGTGGGCACAAAGGGTCATGCTGCACCCGAATACATGGCAACAGGTTAGTGGGCATAGAGAATTTTGTGTTCATATATGTAGCAACAAGCAAGTTTAAGTATTTTCACTGTGTAGGCCATCTATCTGTGAAAAGTGATGTTTATGGCTTCGGTGTCATCCTGCTTGAGATATTGACCGGCTTGCGAACAATTGACGTTAAGCGACCGAGTAACCAACATTTTTTGGTGGAATGGGTGAAATCCATGGACCTCTCTCAGAAAGGGAAGTTGAAGTCTATAATGGATCCTCGAATTGAAGGCCAATATTGTACAAAGGCAGCATTGCAGGTTGCTCAGCTTGCTTTGAGATGCCTGGAAAATGAACCTTGGAAACGACCTTCCATGAATGAAGTTGTGCAAATTTTGGAAGAAATTGAAGCTATGGGAAACCAACAAACTTAAAAAACCAGTTCATCCTAAGGCCTATGATAGAGTTTGTATATGTTGAACATTTCAGTATGAGAGAGTTTGTATATATCAAAATTGGATATAATTGCCACAAAACTTTTAAAAAATTGAGGTTTATTCATCAAATATTAAATGTTTACATGTAGTTGTTACAATATATAAAAGAGTAAATACCCAAAATGGTCCCTCGACTATAGTTAAATTCACAAATTGGTCATCGACTTTCAATTTCAACCAATTAAGTCTTTAACTTTGCAATTTTAACACGATTTGGTCCTCTGTCTATTTGACCGTTTGTTGACTGTGATTTTTGAAGATATATATGTAATTTCACGGTCCATCGTCTGTTTTTTAAGGTTCGGTTGCATTTTCATACCGCACTGTTACATTTGAATCCATTACCGAAAGCAATCTACCAAATCCGGTCGCCTTTAGTAATAGTTAGGCGTAATCATCTTCGTGCTTAGGGGTGTTAGCGAACAGAGCTTTCGACAAACTACTTGTGTTCGTGTACGGTAAGCGTTCGTTTATGTTCGTTTGTTATGGTAAACAAACATTAACAAACAAAATTTAGAGCTCGGTTAATAAACGAATAGAGCTTGGACAGTTGTAAGCTCGTTTGCTAAGAGATCGTGAACAAGTTCGTTTACTAATGTTCGTGAACAAGCTCGTTTATGTTCGTTTAATAATATTCGTGAACAAGCTCGTTTGTGTTTGTTTAATAATGTTCGCGAACATGTTCACAAACATATATTATATTATATTATATTATATTATATTATATTAGTTTTGTAATTGTATTGTTTGTTTGATTATTGTTCGTGAACGTAGATTATTTATAGTTCACGAACGAAATGTGATCATGAACATGTGCATGTGTTTGTTTATTAAGTGTTCATGAACGTAAATGAATATGTTCGTGAACGTGCTTGTTAATGAACATGTTTGTGAACGTGTTTGTTAACGTTAACGAACACGTTTGCGAACGTGTTCACGAACGTTAACAAACACGTTCGCGAACATGTTCGTTAACTTAAAGAACACGTTCGTGAACATGTTCGCGAACGTTAACGAACACTAACGAACAGTTAACAAACAAACACGAACAAGATTTTCAAAAACTTTAACAAACGAACACGAACACTCCAAATTCCTTAACAAACGAATACAAATAGCCTCTGTTCGTTTATGTTCGGTTCGTTAACAACCCTATCCGTGCTAACCACCAGGGCGTTAGAGTTGGGGTTCACGTATAGGAAGTCACATGCGAGATCGATCGAGATCAGGCCAAAGCTACACCCCATGCCGGAGAGATTATAGTTTTTGATAGATAGATCGACGAAGTCCCTTGAGCGGCTCTTCGAGAAAGTCGTAACTCCAAGCGACATAGGCAAGCTGAACCGGCTCGTGATCCCCAAGCAGCAAGCGGAGAAGCACTTCCCCCTCCGAAATTCTCTTGAGCTTTGCATGTGAAATTACATATATATCCTCAAAGATCACGATCAAATAGACGGATGATCAAATTGTGTTAAAATTACAAAGTTAAGGACTTAATTGGTTGAAATTGAAAGTTGAGGACCAATTTATGAATTTAGCTATAGTTGAGGGACCATTTTGAGTATTTACTCTATATAAAAGTTTGAGTTTCAATTATAACGTTAAACATGTTTGGTTCATGGAATATACCATGAATATAATAGTATTCATGGGAGTAGACTTATTTTAGTTATTTTCAATTTACAGTATACACTATACAATGAGTCATACAAAACATTTAAAGTATAATTATTTTCGATTTACAATATACACTGTATAATTGGTCATACAAACCATTTAAAGCATAGTTTAGGTATAGAAAAACAAAATATTTTCAAACCCTTGCTTTGCTAACGGTTTGGGCGTTAGACTCATGTTCCTTTCCATCCTGAGCCATCTCGGTCAAGAACCATGACATGTCGAGAATCATTAGGTTGAACAACATTTTAAGTTGTCACCTTGTGAAATTCAACTCCTTGAATTTTCACGGTCTTTACCGTTGGATGTCACCACCGGTTTGCAACCAAAGTTCATTAGGTTTTTCGAATGTGCAACAACATTGCCACTCCGACCATTCGAAAGTGCACCACAAACAACATTCACGCTTCCACTTACAACAATAGTGGGAGCCATCGACTTAATTCACCAAAAAAATATTGATTTTAAGATTTACCAAAAAATAATTTCGAAAATATATGAATACATATAATTCAAAAATAATGGCATTTATAACCATAAACTAGTACAAAAGATTTAATTTTTATAAAATGGTAATGGAGCCAAAATTGTGTGTTTTTTTTTTTTTTTACTTTTATATTAAAAAATACACATTGCAGCACGCTATTGGACAGAGGAAACCCCTCACCGTTTTATCTTAATTAATGAAACGTTGCAGTGTGGATCATGGTCCATCGTATAACTATTGAATGAGTAATTTTACATGGACTTTCATGTTTTATTCTTTACTAGTAATTCACCCGTGCGATGTATGAGAAAAAATTATGTTATTATAAATATAAATAAAAAATAGAAAAACTAAAATATTTTAAATTATTTAATATAATAATATTTTTGAGCTTCCATTGATCAAGTATTTATTATTTTTATAGAATACAAAATTACAATTAAAATTAAAATTATAATTATAATTTTGTATGGTTAATATAATCTCTAATTATGTGCATATTCAAATAAACTTATAGAGAGAATTTACATAATTACATTGATTTATTCTTAATTGTATTTCATCTATATTATAATTTTCACAATACGAATAATAACTAAGATAATTACATTTGGAAAACAAATTTAAATTTTTGTATGTGTAAATTTAAACTCTAATTGAACACATTTTTTATATGATTATATAATATATAGCTATTTTATTTTTCAAAAGTATATTTTTTATATGATTATATAATATATAGCTATTTTATTTTTTAAATGTTGTGCTTTTTTTTTTTTTTTCACAATACGAATAATAACTAAGATAATTACATTTGGAAAGCAAATTTCAAATTTTGTATGTGTAAATTTAAACTCTAATTGAACACATTTTTTATTATATAATATATAGCTATTTTATTTTTCAAAAGTATATTTTTTATATAATTATATAATATATAGTTATTTTATTTTTTAAATGTTGTGTGTTTTTTTTTTCTTTTTATAATAAAGGATGTTGTGACATTAATTATTTCTCAAATCATATAGCTTTATTATATAAAGAATGACATAACATGCCTTGTTTAATTTAATAAGAATTCTTTCATTTTCTTTCTTTCTTCAATTATACGTGAACACAAGTGAGAGTAAAAGTCGAAAGTCCATACTTTTCCTATTCAAATAAATACAGCATTAAAAAGACAGATGGTCGGTTTCCGGAAGATTCATAGAGAAGGAAATAGTCATCAGAGAAACCGAGTGAAGCTATCACTCCGATCATCAAGACAACGACGGAACAAATGACCTAATTTTCGTATGAAAAATCAAAATTTTAATTCTTGATAACATTCTTTTAGAAACTTTTTAGTGCAATTTATCCTCCTGTGCAATTTACCTGCACTCTTTGACTGCAGTTTTCCCATTGAAAATCAAGAATATATCCCCTTTTATACACAACGAAGAATATCTGTTTCTCTATACTACTTTTGTTTCTTGGTTACTGATGAATTGAGACTCAATTTATCATAGTAGCACAGCAGTGTAATCAATGGGGAATTTCGTCGGATCGAGGACTGCTGACTCTATCTCTGGTAGCATACACAGCTCTTCATTCTCCTTTTTCACTCCAGGCAGTGCTTTCTTCCCTGGATTTCATTTTTTTTCTTCTATGTATTCTTCAAGGGTCTTTTATTGGTTAATTTACAATTTGATTATGCTTTACACATTCACCGTTAGTTTATACTTTGGAGAAAACTGTTGGTTGTAGTTTTGTGGACAATTCACACTTGAACAGTTGATGTTAATTTCTGTTTTTTTTATTTTTTTTATTTTTTTTATTTTTTTTTATGAGATGTTTGGTTGGACTTGGATGGAAAACTTTTTCCAAGTTTTCCTTAAAATTTGAGGAATTATGTTTGGTTAATGGAAAAAGTTTTCCTCAAGAATGGGGAAAACCTTTTTCTTAGCTCATTCTAGATAGTTTGTTTTCCATGGAAAACTTGTTGTCCTCACCATACTTTATTAATTACTCTTATTATTATTATATTATTATTGTTGTGTAGGGTTATATTTGTCTTTATACTCATTATTCCCTACCATTCAAAATCCAACCAAACAATGGATTCAATATTCCTAGTAATTTCTTTTCCACCAATCAAAAAATGTAATTAATTTTTCCAGTAATTTCTTTTCCATAGAATTTCAATTCCATTCCTCAAATATTTTCAGCGAACCAAACGGGCCGTATAGTGTTTATGGAGCTCCATGGGCAAGATTTTTTTTTTTTTTCTTTGAGTTAAATGCCATAAAAACTTGATCTTTTTACATTAATATTTTGCATATAGAGGCATTGACAAGCAACAAGAAAGGCTTTTTAAGAGTAGGTGTTGTTATGCCTAGTGGGTTCTCAAAATATTCCAAGAATAGGGAATAGTCATTGGAGAAACCGAGTGAAGCTGTGGCAACTTCCAAACTGGAAAGTCGAGATTTCTATATTGTGGCTTGTTCTTTTGAGTTAAAAGCCATAAATACTTGATCTTTTACATTGCTGTCTGTAATATTTTGCATATAGGGGCATTGCCAAGCAACAATAAAGGCTCTACTGCATTTTCTGCACTGAGCAGAATTGGTAGTTATAGACAGCTTTCAGCAGCAGAGAGTGAAGGTGGAAATGCCAATGCAAAATGTCTACCTACACCAAATTTGGAGATTTACAGTTCGGCTGAGAGTGAAGACTCAAATGCGAATGGAACAATTTTGCCTACACCAAATTTGAAAGTTTACAGTTTGGCTGAATTGGAGGTGGCCACCAGTAATTTTAAGCGTGACATGGTCTTGGGGACAGGAGGTTTTGGGACAGTGTTTAAAGGATGGGTTGATGAGAACACGCTTGCACCATCTGAACCCGGTAGTGGGATGATTGTTGCTATCAAGAAATTGTACCGTGGAAGTTTGCAAGGATTTGAGGAGTGGGAGGTACTGATAGTAGATTCTCTTTAGATTATCTTCTACCGTTATCTGACTTGTGTAAGCCAAATTTTGTCTCATCAGTTCTTTTCCTTCATTATGTTTTGTTGGATGTTCTAAATGATTGCATTCATTTCATTTGACATACAGTCAGAAGTGAAATTGTTAGGAATGTTTTCACATCCTAACGTCATTAAGCTACTGGGATACTGTTGGGAATATAATAAGCTTCTACTTGTCTATGAATACATGCAGAATGGGAGCTTAGAAAACCATCTTTTCAGAAGTAAGACATTTATTGAAGGTTTTCTGCAAAGATGACATTATATAGTGGTGTTTTATACTCATGTTTCTCTGTGTTTAGAAAACGTAGGTCGTAAAGCACTTTCATGGGACTTGCGGCTAAATATTGCTATAGGTGTAGCCCGTGGCCTTGCTTTTCTGCATTGCTCCGAAAGGCAAGTCATATGCAGGGATTTAAAGTCCTCCAACATTCTTCTTGATGAGGTGTAAGCATCTGCTATCATATGTAACGTTACATATTAGTACTATTACTGGTCATTATAACATGAGAAACTTTAATGCTCTAAGGACCAATCCTTCTTGAAACTAAACGCTGGTAAATTGTGTACAATGTAATGCATGTAGTTTACTGTCAAATGATGTGCATATATATTGGCAATTGCATGATTGCATCGTGCCAGTAAAATTGCTACTTCTAATTCCCTTTTTTTCATAGGCAATAGCCAATAGGGAATGTGAAAAACAATGTATGCTACGGGTGTGGTTCATTTGATTTCTTATTTTTACTTTTATTTCAAAATTCTTGATTTTTCTGTGTCTTTTGCTTGTAGAATTATAATGCAAAAATATCAGATTTTGGCTTAGCTAAACTAGGGCCTTCAGGTGAGAATTCACACGTTACAACTCGAGTATTGGGCACAGAGGGTTATATTGCACCTGAATACCTTGAAACAGGTGAGTGTTTGTTTTGAGCCCATAGACCATAGTATTGGTGTCTCCAATACATACTAACTGACCATACTAGATTTTTTCTTAATGATTACATATTTTGGATCTTTTATATTGCTTGGAGTAAAAACAAATTTCGGCCTTTTCATCATTTGCTAGTTGCTCGAGTACAATAGAGAAGGGGGATCATTCATAACCAAAAAGTTTTGGGCTGTACAGGTTATCTATACGTGAAAAGCGATGTGTATTGCTTTGGTGTTTTACTGCTTGAGATGTTGACAGGCTTAAGATCACTGGATTATAAGTGACCCAGTGGGCAACATTGGCTGGTGGGTTGGGTAAAACCTATGCTCTCTCAAGAAGGGAAGCTGAAATCTATAATGGATGTTAGGATGGAAGGCCAATATTCTTCAGAAGCGGAGCTGCAGGCTGCTCAACTTACTCTCAGATGCCTAGAATCCCAACCTGAGAAGCGGCCTTCAATGGAACAAGTCCTGGAGAATCTGAAAGAGATTAAAGCTATTGATACGTTCACTGGGAACAAATATCAAAGGCCCAAGAAAAACAAGTTCTGGAGAATCTGAAAGAGATTGAAGCTATTGATACATTCACTGGGAACAAATATCAAAGGCGCAAGAAAACTACAACCACCACAAAATAAAGACTTATTCTTCTAATCTTCAGTCTTTTTCCCTATTCTTATGTTTGATTCAGTTTTCCTATTTTCATGCTCTTTACCGTTACTTCCTATGTGTATTTAAAGAACAAGTTCACAGAGTTTAGGATCATCATTATTGTGTAATGTTTTTTGGCTAATGTCATTGGGGAGAAGAACTCCAGTTTTCTTCACGAGTATCTGTGCTTTCGTTTTCCTTTCGATATTTCTGCTTCCATCTGTAATCATAGGTAGAAGCCGTGGAACCGTTCCACCTCCCGCTCGCCACTCCAGCCCGGTACGCCGTTCAGTGACGCGATCCCTTCCGCCCCGGCCTGTAACAGATTTGGTATCAGAGCCCGTCGTCATGGGCGACCAATCACTGGTTGAGTTGGTCATGGCACTATGCGGGGAGGTTCACCAACTTCATACCACGCTGCACGACGAGGCCCACAACCTCCAAACTGCCATTGGCACTCTGAAGGACAACCAGGCTTCTCTACAGCAGATGTTCCACCAGTTCATGGCTGCCAAAGGGCCTACCGATGCCTCTAGCAGCCGCACTCACACCGACGCGGACCACGCTCTGCCAGCCCCGGCGAGCCCGCAACCACAACCACCTGCCCCTCCAACGGTGGTTCCAAAGTTCACCCGGCTCGAGTTCCCGCGCTATGACGGGAGAGACGACCCCACCAGCTGGCTCCATCACTGCGAGCAGTTCTTCAAATCGCAGGCGACTCCGCTGCATGAGTTCGTGAGTACGGCAGCTCTCCACCTCACGGGCGTTGCGCAGCTCTGGCATTTCCGGCAGGACATGGAGGAACCTAACATGAGCTGGCCACAATTTAAATACCAGATTATTTTGCGTTTCGGACCAGGACTTCGGACCAACGTCTTGGGCTCACTGACGAAAAACTCAACCAGGACGGTCGGCAAGTCGAGGAATACAACAACGAAGTCCAGGCGATGCTCCTGCGCATGACGACTGTTCGGCGGGACATGGAGGTCGGCCTCTACACCTCTGGGCTGGATGAATGGCTCCGCATCGACGTTGAGAACCAACGACCGGCGAACTTAAATGTCGCTATGAACATGGCTCGTTCATTTTTCCGGCGAATGGAGTGCGCCCCGCCTGGGACCGCCATGGTTTCTGGCCGCCCTCACGCCTCTAACCAACACCCTTCTTCTTTTTCAGGTACGGCGACACGTTCTGCCGCAGGGGGCCACTTTCTGGCGTCCTCGTTGCGGACCAGTGCTCCGGCGGTTTCGGCGAACCCCGCGACGGCCCCTGCCTCCTCCACCGGTAGTCGCTCCTCCGTCACCCCGTATCGGCCACCCATGCGCACCTCTGCCCCTTTCCCTCCTCTTGAACGCCGTTTGTCCAGAACTGACTACAACCAGCGCCACGCAAAGGGGTTGTGCTTCCACTGTGACGAGAGGTAGACCACCGGCTCACAACTGCAAATGCCTCTTCTTGCTGGTCATCGATGATTCTGTGGAAGAAGAGGCCTTCACCTTTGTTGAACCTGAACCCTTGGATTTTGAAGGAGCGGATAATCCTGGCATTTCCTTACACGCAATCACGGGGCCCACTATCGGCAGTACAATGCGTGTGTCAGTGAACATTAATGATAAGACTGTCACCATATTAATTGATTCAGGAAGCACTCACAACTTTATTGACCGAGACACGGCCACGTCCCTGGGTTTGGTCATACGCAAGTGCCCAAGTTTGCGGGTTGCGGTCGCGAATGGTGAACGTATAATTGGCTCGGGCATTTACTCTGTAAAGATGGGCACAAATTTAATGTTATTTTGTATGTAATCCCGCTTTCTGGGTTTGAACTTGTGTTAGGTGTTAAATGGCTTCGCACTTTAGGTGCCATAGTTTGGGATTTAATGCCTTAACCATGAGTTTCTTCTATATGGGACGGCGTCTTACGTGGGAGGGTGACCGCGACCAACCTTCTACGTCCCTGCATGCATTACAGACTCAGGTACCCTTCAATAACACACTTGATCATTTATTAGCTGATTTTTTCTGATCTTTTTCAGGAACTAACGTCCCTATCTCCACAGCGCAATTGCGATCACCGCATCACATTGGTTCATGGCGCTGATCCGGTCGCGGCTAGGCCTTATCGCTACCCACAGGCACAAAAAGATGAAATATTTGATGATATTAATCATCTATATTAATAATCATGTGCTTGGGTTTCCCATGTGTCTCTTTGTTTTCTCATTTGTATTCATTTTTCATCATCTTGTTGGCACTATATATACAAGTGCTTGTATTGAAGTTTACACAAGACATAATATATTAGTTTTTCCTCTTCTTCTTGTTTATTTGTATTCTACACCGTTCCACCTCCCGCTCGCCACTCCAGCCCGGTACGCCATCCAGTGACGCGATCCCATCCGCCCCGGCCGGTAACACTATGAAGGGAGGTAAGCAAGAGTAAAACAAAACATGGTCAACCCGCCAAGAAGGAGAAACCTTAATGGACAAAAAGCAGCAGATCCCGACATTTTTATTCAAGGTGCTGCACTCAACAGTCTGTTTTATGTGTTAATTGTTTCATACTTTGTTGTAATATTAAAACAAATAATCATTATTTTCAGAATGTCTACTTTAATTTGTACTATAGTTTTTATTTTTCTACTTTTTGCAAAATTTTGTATAGACTCTTATCCCCATATTGTAAAACCATTTGTGTTATCTTCAATTCTTTCAAATAACTGAGATTCCATCTTTTGTTTCAAGATTCTTAAAGTATTCTTCTTTTGGGATCTAGCATATGTTTTACTAGTAGAGGAAATGCACAATTAATTTGGAAGCTTGTTGGGAAGCCTGTCAACATCAGATTTAATTGTGAATTATGATTTCCCAGAAATTTCTTGTCTTTGGAATTTCAACCCTGTTCCTATTCCCTATTCACACGCGAATTTAGCAATTCCAAGAAATTAACTAAAACTAATTTTTAATTGTTGTCATCTTCAAATAAGTCCAGCCATGAAGAAATGTCTTTCTTTTTTCCCTGTGAAAAATCAACCAACCTTTTTCTATAGCGCAGCTGCAGGTTAGAAGTCAATGGGGAATATCTGTTGTCTCTGTGGATCCAAGGCTGCTGACACCAAATCTACCACCTCTTCTTCTTCCAACATCTCCTCACCTTCTTCTTCTGCTCCTGGTAAGTACTACTTTCTTCCACCTTTTATTGTATGTGATTTAGTTTACTGCGTATTTGCACTTTATGTTCTCGTTCGTTCGGTTGTTTAAGTTAGGAAGAAGTGTTGGTTGTAGGTTTGAGAGAACCATTCAAACATGAATTATTGGTTTTTATCCATAATTAGGTATGTTTAACATTAATGTTTTGCATATAGGGATATCCAGAACTAACAACTATGGCAACACTACATTTTGGGCCAAAAGCAGAACTTCTGGCTACAGCCAGCTTTCAGGAGCTATGAGTAAAGACACAAAATTACCATTATTACTATTATTATAAAACTCGGAAATCCAAACCATAACTGCTTATGTTGAATGTGTTTTGCATATATATAGAGACACCAAAAACTAAAAGCAGCAGCCAGTTGTCGAGAGTAGTGAGGATTGGAGACCTCGACGGCATATGTGTGAAACGAGGATCAGAACAGTGTTTGCCTTCACCAAATTTGAAGAAGTATAGTTTTGCTGATCTGAAGGCTGCCACAAATAAATTTGGGTCTGACATGATCTTGGGGTCGGGAGGTTTCGGAACAGTGTTTAAGGGGTGGGTCAATGGAAAGACCCTCACACCATCGAAATCTTTGTGTAGGATGTGTGTTGCTATCAAGAAACTGAATTCTGACGGTTTTCAAGGATTTAAGGAGTGGCAGGTACTATAATATTTTTCTGTGATAGTAAACGTGTTAATTCTGTCTGAAATTTTGTTTTGGGTGCTCTAAATGGATGTGTATACATATATATATATACAGTCAGAAGTGAACTTCTTGGGAAGGCTTTCACATCCTAATGTAATTAACCTGATGGGGTACTGTTGGGAAGATGAACAACTTCTACTTGTGTATGAATTTTTGCCCAAGGGAAGCTTGGAAAATCACCTTTTCAGAAGTAAGCTAGAAGTGTATGTATAGGCCTGCTGGCACTTTTCTAAGAAATGATGCATTGATTCAGTGTTTTTTTTTTTTTTTTTTTTTAAAGGACGTGCGACGATCCTTTCCTGGGATTTGCGGCTCAAAATTGCAATAGGAGCGGCCCGGGGCCTAGCTTTTCTGCATACTTCAGAAATGGAAATTATCTATAGGGATTTCAAGGCCTCTAACATTCTTCTTGATGGGGTAACATTCTATCAATCTATCATCACTTGAGCAATTACAATATTTTATATCTGCTTCACCCAACAAGCTTTCTACTTCTAATTCATAGACAACGTCCATGTGTTTTTTTATATTTATCTTGGTGAAGTTCTTGAATTTTGTGCAATCGGGCTCGTTTTTTCTACTTGTAGAATTACAATGCAAAAATAGCAGATTTTGGCTTAGCTAAACTGGGGCCTTTAGAGGGGAACTCGCACGTTACAACTCAAGTAATGGGTACATACGGTTATGTTGCACCTGAATATATTGCAACGGGTGAGTGGTGGTTTTTAATGCATGATAGAAGTGCAGAGTATGTGTTGTAATCGCTAAATATATGAATCTAAAATTAGATATACATATATTGATAATATTGAATTGTTATTTTGACGATATTTATAGGTTATCTATATGTAAAGAGCGATGTATATGGCTTCGGTGTTGTCCTACTTGAGCTATTAACCGGCTTGCGAGCAATTGATGTAAAGCGACCTAACGGGCAACAAAATTTGGTGGACTGGAAGAAACCCATGCTCTCTCAGAAAAAGAAGTTGAAGTCTTTAATGGATGCTGGAATGGAAGGCCAATATTCTACAAAGGCAGCATTGCAGGCTGCTCAGCTTGCTTTGAGATGCCTGGAAAATGAACCTGGGAAGCGGCCTTCAATGAGAGAAGTGGTGGAGATATTGGAAGAAATTGAAGGCATGGAAGGGAAGAAACCAAAAGAATCAAAATTAAAAAGCAGCAACTGATCTTTAGTGTCCTTCTTCATCTTATTGCAATACACATCCCACCTTTTCCAAGCCACCATGGCCTTGGAGCTGGACCCAGAAGATAGACATCTGTGACTATATAGAATGTGTAAGATTTAAGGTGTTGCATGGTTGGAATTTTTTTCTCAAAATTCGAAATAAATCGAATATAAAACTGTTTCATAAATGGTGTGGTCATTTTAAAAATGGTTCTTTTTCTGAGTGTGCTAGGAGTTTGAAGCATCAGTTCCTCAAGATACAATGGTTTACAACAATATATTCGAGAGCACTCAAATCTCAAATATATTGTTGCTTTTAGCGAACTAGAACAAAGGTGAATATTTCTAGAGTTTGAGAAAGTGTTAGACAGAGTTTGTAGAGAGTATAGATAGAACACGAGAGAGAGAATTTTTAATGTATATTGATTTTTTTTTCTTAACTTTTGCCCAATACTACGTATATATAGGAGATGGGACATTAATAATATTTATGGTATTTACTTTTGTAACTTTCACTTTTATGTAGAGGTGTCGAACAAATAGATTAGCACAAAGTTTAGGGAACGTTATGCTGTGCATCCGTATGCAAAAACGACGTCGTTGTAGTGTCTAACTTAAAAAAAAAAAAAAAAAAAAAAAAAAAAAAAAAAAAAAAAACAGAATTGCATAACTACGCATCCATAATTTCACTACACTTCCAGAATTGCATAACTACACTTCTAGAATTGCATAATATAATTCCAGAATTGCATAATTACACTTCTAGAATTGCATAATATAATTCCAGAATTGCATAACTACACATCCATAACTTCATAACTACACTTCCAGAATTGCATAACTACACTTCCAGAATTTCATAACTAAAAAATCCAAAATGAATAAACTAAAAATGAATAACATAATGTTGTTGCTGGGAATCGAAACTGATTTTTTTTTTTTTAAGTAGGGTACGTGTTTTATGCAAAACGACGTCGTTTTTGCATCCATATGCACCATGCAGGGTGCATACGGATGCACAACATAATTTGCCAAAGTTTAGTCTAAGCTGGATCCTTTGGGCCGGTTTAGTCTTGTCCATTTGCTACAATGGATAGACTAAGGCAAGCCTATTTTATACGGCAAATTATGCCCTGAAAATGTGTTTACCGTGAATGGTGAACACAAGGCCAAACGACGTCGTTTTTAGGTAAAAAAAAAAAAATCGCGGATGTGGAGTTAACGGTGCGCGTTGATCAAATTATAAATTTTCTGTTATGAGATTATGAATTTTCATAAAATTCATAATCTCATAACAGAAAATTCATAATCGCATAACAGAAAATTCATAATCGCATAACAGAAAATTCATAATCTCATAACTGAAAATTCATAATCCTCATAACTGAAAATTCATAATTTCATGGTTCCAAAGTGAATGTGTAGGCATGGTTCCAAAGTGAATGTGCAGGCATGGATTCATAATTTATGAATGTCCGTGATTTCGGACGGGAATGTGTAGGCATAGTTCCAAAGTGAATGTGTAGGCATGAATTCATAATTTATGAATGTCCGAAATCATTGTTCACCTCAAATTAAAGTGAAACCGCAAAATGTGAAAATGAAGAAGAAAAGTCACGCAATTAATTAAGAAAAAAAAAAGAAAGAAAGAAAGAAAGATAACGGTGTACTAACACCGTTGGAACCGTGTTCACCATGAATGGTGAACACGGTTCCATGGCATAACGCTCCATTTTATACTATAGATAGTGTTTGATTTGAATTTTTGGTCCATGGATCGTCCAACCAATCGTTATGCTATAGACCCGTGTCCAGCATGCATGTTTGACACGGGTAACAGTGCCGTTAGTGGCACTGTTATCTTTCATTTTTTTAATATATTTTTTTTAATTTCAGATCGCTTCGTTATAGGAGTATATGTTCATAATTGTAAGTTCATAATGTCAGAGCTCTATGTTCATAATTCTATAACTGTACATTTATACTTCCATAATTGTACATTCATAATTCCGTAACTGTACATTCATAATTCAATAACTGTAACTTCATAATTTTCGAAGCTCTATGTTCATATTGTAAGTTCATAATGTCAAAGCTTTGTGTTCATAATTCCATAATTGTACATTCATAATTGCATAATTGTACATTCATAATTGCATAACTATACATTCATAATTCCGTAACTGTACATTCATAATTCCGTAACTGTAAAATCATAATTTTCGAAGCTCCATGTTCATAATTTTAGAGCTCTATGTTCATATAAAATATCGCTATATGTTCATAATTGTAAGTTCTTAATGTCAGAGCTCTGTGTTGATAATTTTATAACTTACATTCATAATTCCATAACTGTACATTCATAATGCCACAAACGAATAACGCCGTTAACGGCGAGACAAAATCATTTTTTTTTAACTGGAATGACGCGTTTTCCCCAAAAACGACGTCGTTTTGGACTCGTGTCCACAATGCATTGTGGACACGGGTCAAGGGCATAATTTGCGTCGTCCAACCCGTGGACATGTAATTATATACTTCATTTGTTTCATTTCATGTGTTTGGTTCGACTATTGAGGTTTGCCTGAAGTTATTTTTAATCTAATTTTTTATACTATTAAATTTAGAATGAGTATACAAAATTTATAGTGTGTGTGTTTATAAACCAGGTGAGAATTATGTTCCTGGTGAGAACCTATAAACAAATCCGAACTGATGATCTATTAGATTTAAGAATGGAAAATAAACAAACTTTGTACTCCCTCCATCTCTAATTGATTGTATCATTTGCTTTTTGCACGATTTTAATACAAAATAATACGGAGTAAATGTTATTAATTTTCCAATTTTGCTTGTCAAAAGTATGTGTTATTTGTACAAAGGACCATTGTACTTACCTCTAGAAATTTTAAAAGTTAAAAGGATAAATTGAAAAATGTAGAGTGATAGTTATATTCAATTTTGAAAACATGACAATATTTTGGGACAAACTAAAACGGAAAGTAAGACAGGTAAAATGAGACGGATGGAATAATATTTATGAAAATGACCTTGCTCATTTTAAAAATTTATAATATTTATGAAAATAATCCTGGCCGAAAATAAATATAATTTTGTAATATTTATGAAAATGACTCTACATATTTTTTTTTTTTACTTAATTTATCATTCTTAAAATCTTATAGATAATAATTTTGATTTGTTCACAAATTATCACCTAGGGAGTGATTCTTATTGACTTAAATTTTTTTATGTCAAAGATTTTAAAAATAATATTTCCACCTTTTAAAAAACTTTTTGGTTCCAAAGTCCAAAGGCTCCCATGAGGAAACGATTAAGAAGACTCGTCGTAGAAAAGGGAAATAGTGGTCGCAGAAACCGAGTGAAGCTGTCACAACTATAACAGACTAGACAATCACTCCGATCATCTATCAACGCAATTTTCACTACATTTCTTGTTAATGTCTGAAAAGGGACGTAATTTTCCATCCAATTACACCCTTATCTTTTGAGTGAGCTGTAGATGAAAAGGTGGATGAAAGAAACCATTAAGTTGGAAATTAATTAAAGTGATATGAAAGCAAACCAGACGACGCTGCTATATTGAACACCAACATTTCCAAGAAATTAACTTCTTTTTTGGGAAAAAAAGTCGAACCTACAAAGAAAAATGTGGTATGTTTTCCCATTGAAAATCAAGACTCCCCTTTTATAGTCAACGAAGTATGTCTGTTTCTCTATACGACTTCTATTTCTTGATTGGTTTCTTAACTAGGAGTTTGGGAGGCAATATTAGCACACCAGTAGTGTAATCAATGGGGAATTGCTTCGGATTGAAGGCTGCTGACGCTAACTCTGGGAGCACAGTTCCCCACAGCTCTTCATGCTGGCCTTTCGCTCCAGGTAGTGCTTTTTCTATGTAGTCTTCTTTATCAAGAAAAGTAAGGAAACATCTTTTACAGTGAATTTCTGTTCTCTTTATGGAGCACCATGGACAAGATTTCTATTTCTATTTTTTGCTCTTAATTTCTTTTGAGTTAAAAGCCATAGCTGCTTGATCTTTAACATTAATGTATTGTGTAAAGGGGCATTGGCAAGTTACAGTGTAGGCTCTACTGCATTTTGGGCAATGAGCAGAATTGCTGGCTATATAAGGCTTTCAGCAGCAGAGAGTGAAGACACAGATAATGGCAGTGGAGAGATTTTGCCTAAACCAAATTTGAAGGTTTACAGTTTGGCTGATTTGAAAGTGGCCACTGGGAATTTCAAGCCTGACATGGTCCTGGGGATAGGAGGTTTTGGGACAGTGTTCAAAGGATGGGTTGATGAAAAGACACTTTCACCATCTAAACTTGGCACTGGAATGATTGTTGCTATCAAAAAATTGAACCCTCAAAGTACACAAGGATTTGAGGAGTGGCAGGTACTGCAATGCACACCTTGTTCATTCCTTGTCCCAAAAGGTTAATTCCCCAACCCCAAGGGCCCCCCACACCCCAGCCCGATAGAGCATTTGGGAGGATATAAATCACGGTAACTTAGTGACTCAGCAGACAGGGCCAAATACTGGTGCACACAAGGGATCTGCCCGCCACTTTGGGCATACTCCCCACACTGCCACCTTGTTCATTCCTATTTTTATATTGTAATGGCCTAGTAATTCTTTTTGGTTTACTTTAGTGTTTGTATAAGCTGAGTTTATCACTTTGGCCCTGTTTGGTAAATGGCTGTTAGCTGTTAGCTGTTAGTTGATTGAGTTAATTTGAGAGTATAACTAGTTTATAACAATAGCTGATTGTAGAAAAGGTGTTTGGTAAATTAGCTGTTAGCTGATAGCTGTTTGGTATAATTTCCTTTCTCAAAAAGCTAATTGAAAAAGTTTCTTTGAGCAGCTTTTTGAATTTTAGCATTTTGGAGTTACAAATAGCTAATTAACCAAACACTTGTATTGATTTTTTAACCAAATCAAAAAGCTAATAGTGGTCAAATAAGCCAAAATTGGCCTATAGGCTAACTATTTTACCAAATAGGGCCTTTATCTAATGAGTTCTTTTCCTTTAGATGGATGGATTGGTTGTTCTAAATGATTATATTCATTCCATTTGAAATACAGTCAGAAGTGAGCTTCTTAGGGATGCTTTCACATCCTAACCTGGTTAAGCTAATAGGGTACTGTTGGGAAGATA